GACGGTGTCCCCAGACTTGTTTGGGACACTGCCCCTTTAAGACGGTGTCCCCAGACCTGGTTAAAACTCTTTGTGCCTGGCTATTTCCCACTTGGTTCAGTAAATGGGGCTTACTGAACCAAGAACCACATAGGCGGACCACCTGTATTGGGAGCGTGTCAGCAATTTACCTCCCAGAAGCTGCGGTTAACCGCAGCTTAATTGACAATGCTGGGTGGCCTTTGTTCGTTTTTTCAGCCTGTAATAGACCGGCCACACAGCCCAAATCTATGGAACTGTTTTGGGCAGGAAAATGTGCTTGCGGTCGGTCATAAAGGGACCTCCAGCTAACTTTTAAACCCCTGGATGGATTTGTCTGATTTTTGGTTATGTTTATGTTTAAAGTGTGCTGATTAATAATATGTAATTTTTATGAAGATTGGATGTGTAGTTTTAAAGTTACAGTGTATGGTTAAAACTGTATTTTTACTGCCTGTGTTAATTATGTTAAACCATTGTGCAACATAATTATATCACAGGCAGAGGGGAGGATTTTTGTGTGTAATTGCTGGGAGTGTTTCTGTGATGTACGTTTATGATTGGTTGTTGTGCAAAACCCTGTGGGTAGTACTAATGTGTATATAAGCACAATAAACCCACAGCTCTGACTGTTCACTGCTTGACCCTCAACACGGAGCTTTGTCTCGTTCTTGGGGGGATTTATTGTATGCTGTTCCAGTTTGACTGCTAGGAGTGTAAACCTATTCGTATGGTTTTTCCTATTCGGCCGTTTACAGCGTTCGTATGGTTTCCTGTTCGGAAGGGAAGATCTACTAAACGGCGGTCTAACCTTTTTATGCCTGGGGGTGCCGTGACAGGGAGGTATAGAATCACCAACAAAATGGGTCGATCCTGGGAGCTGTACCCCAGATGGGAAGTTCAAACAGCCCCTACACAGTCCATAAAGTCTCTGGGTAGCGTGTAAATAAGGTGTGGAAACTCGCCCGGTAATACCTCAGTGGGTATATCTCATGTGGGATACAGTGGTACGGACCCAGCAGATCCATTAGAGGAGGTGAAACAGAGAAATCCAGTCTAGACACTTATACCCTGCATGATCAGTTAGCCCTCTATAACGAAATCCATAGCACAGACATTAGATTAAATGGAGGGGTTCTCTCCCCTTACCCAGTCGTTGTGAACCCGTTAATACAAAAGTAGTGTTTACCTCTGTGTCCGGTTCCTTCTATGAGAGTGGGCCACACTCAGAACATGTCTCCTGTATCCATCTCAGTATTGGATTCAGGTAGGAGGAGGGCTGTGCCCTCTAATAACGAATCAGTCTCTGGTTCAGTCTCTGGTTCTTCCTCTATTCGTGTAAATAAATATCAGTCTCGGGCCGAGGTGATGGAGGGCCGCACCCTCTAGGAATCCAAATTAGAGTCCATATCAGACTCTAGGTGACCAACTGTGGGTTCACCATTTAATAATATCAGTGTAGGATCCCTCTCTGACCACAAGACCTTTCTCTGAATCACTCACCTGAGGGTTGGGATTAACTGGTAATAAACCGGAATGATGGTAGACGGAGTAGTAAACGACTTCGGGGCGGTGTCCGTCTTAATAACAGAAAAGGATGTTGAAAGAATGCAACCTTTGGAAAAATGATTAAATCTACCAACGGACTGCCCAGAGCCCATGCGTCAGTAGCCTGAGGAAAGCTTGAGACGTTCTCCACGATCCACGAGAGCCCGGGAGGTCAGAGGAGGCCTAATCTGGCCTCTCGACGACCTGAGCGCTAGTAAAATTGGAAAGCGCAAAACAAAGAAACTATAAAAAAGGTAGATACGTACCTCAGAGAGAAGCTAACTAGCAGACTGGAAAGCAGTCAAGTAAATCTAACTGAAAGGGTCAGGAAAACATGACGCAGGAAAAACGACCAATACCTAAGGTGGATAGCGGAAAGGCAGCTAAACGATAGTTGCTAACAACAAGGAAAACACAGTGCTCCCTTGTTGGCATCTGAGCATTGGTCCCTATATGTGAGAAATTCTCCTTGGAGCTGTGCCGCCGCCGGGCTGGCGTAAACCGTGGTTGTGCGCCCGGGGATCTTCATAAAAGCCTTGCCCCTAGGGTATGGGGTTTAGGGTCGTCACCCTTCCAATCACATTAGGTGCCCGTATACTGGTGTTCTCTTGGATAGTATGGTAGCAGTGTTTTCCTGGATACCCACCTATCTCCATGTCAATAGTGGGTACTGGGTTTTCCTCCGTGATATTCCCCTAGGCCTGTGGCCAAAAGGGGTTCGAGCACAGATAGATCAGGCCAAGCAAAGGGCACAGACATAGCAGGCCAATCAAATGGGCGCAGACATAGCAGGCCAATCATGGGTGGCGTATGAAGTTAGTATAAGGGATCCCTGTGTTTGGGCAGGGTCCAATGACTATCTGTAAATACTCACGGTATCTTGTGACACAAGACCCCAGACACCAATTCCTTTAAACAGCGTAATGCTGTGTGAATAAGCCTTAACGGGAACTGGCGGTCCCTTAATGCCCTGCAGGAAAAATAATGGTAGTTCACCTGTAGGGGATCTTTAAGTTGGTGTTGTTCCAGTGATTATAGTGCTCATTAAAACAAGAGATATAGGGTGATTTCAGTCACTTAAATGAAATGACTATGCCCATGCACCGATATTCCCCTTAGAAATCCTTTATTATATATATATATATATATATATATACACAATCTCATCATATCATCTGAAGGCTAATATACCATGGTTTATAGCAAGAAGGTTTAACATAGTCATATATGAACCTCCTGACCGCGAGTACCTCAGGCGCCGGAAGGATCACCCTGAAGCTTGCGAAGTCCGGGGAGGCAGCTGGACGGCTAGCCACCTGAAACCCCGCGCGGAGTATAGCGGAGCTGCAATATTAAATCCCAAGATCTCTCCTGTTCTAATAGGTCAAGTAGTGGCAGGTTCTCCTGATCCTCAGAGGCTGAGGCGCATATTGCTGCCACGTTCTCTATCCTCTCATGATAGCGTCATGTGGAGCATGCGTCTCTTCCCTACCCCTGAGCAGGGGTCAATCACATAGGTGGTGTCACATCTCTGTTCCACCACCTGGTATGGGCCTTGCCAGGTGTCCCATCTGTACTACTCTCCCCCTCCCACTACTCTCCCCCTCCCAGTGCTCTCTAATTAAGTCTAACGGATATCCCTGGCCAGAAAAAGGCGTGGGTCAAACGGTATCGGGTGCGTGTCATCCCCAGATGCCCAGACAAGGGTATGTCGTGAGCGATCCTAAGCAGTTCTTGCCTATACTTTTGGGGAACCACAAGCTGTTTAGTCGTCACCGTGACCGACCCCCCAACTACCCTTTTGGCAATACGATATAATAACCCTTTCTCCCAGGTATACCGCTCCCCCTCTAATCCGGCCTGGTCTGTGCTTATCCTGTCTCTGTACACCTGTAACGTGGGGTCTATCTTCACCTCTGCCTCAAATTTAGTTGGGGTATCCCAAGTCATACGTGTCGTGTGATGGTCTCTTACCTGAGCCTCAGAGTCTTGTGCTCACTGGATGGGCTTCCTGGTGTGGAGCCTGGGGTATAAAAGCAGAAGGCCCAGGTCATTCCCCAATACAACATCCGCGGGTAACTTCTGCATCAGACCCACCTCTACCATCCACTCCCCAACATCCCAATTCAAATGTACTTTGACAGTGGGTAGTCTGTACACTGCTCCCCCTGCAACTCATACTGCCACGTATCCGCTGGTGTGTGCTGAACCTGGAACCAAGTGGGGTGCTACCAAAGTCAGGGTGGCTCCTGAATATATCGGGAGGGTGGAGGTTGGCTCCCCGGGGTTGGTCTAAAAGGGGTTGCTGTAGAGGCTGTAGGGGTAGCTGTACTTGGTTGAATGGTGGGTCGAGGGTAACCTCTGTTTAGGTGCCCGTGATGTCTCCTCGCATCAAAATGTTGGTCCACTAGTCGGGCCGCTTCGGTTAGGGTGAGGGGTTTGCGGTCTCTCACCCATTCTTATGCTTCTGGAGTCAAGCCATTAAAGAATTGTTCCAACAGCATCAATTGCCATAACTCCTCCATAGTGGTGGCTTGGCTTGCTTGTATCCACCCCTGTGATGCTTGGTCCAGCTTGTGGGCCCACTCGGCATGAGAGTCTTTCTCAGGTTTGCGCAATCCCCTAAACTTGCGCCGGTATGCATTTTGTGCTAGTATGGCCCGTTTTACTTTGTCATAATCCTTGCCGTCTTCCCTGGGTTCAGCGCGATAGGCTTCTGCTGCCCAACCTGACAGTTTGCCTGTTAGTAACAGTACCCATACTGCCTGCTCCAAGTCATGTAAATCACACAGCCTCTCGAAATCTTGCAGGTATCCATCAATCTCATCCTTCTCTTCACAAAACATCTTAAAAGCATGGTATGGGATTTTGGGCTTTACCTGGCTGTAGACTGAGGCAGTAATGGATTCTGATATATAAAAAAATAAATAAAATAAAATAAAAAAAAACAAATACAAACACAAGAAATACAAATGCACCTAACCAACACGGCGGTAGGAATATGCACAGGTACTTAACTTGGTATGAGATGAATGCAGCTTCCCAAGAGGTTTCCCCCAACCTATATATTTTTATATTTAATTTAATTTTTTTTTATTTTTATTATTATATTTAGTTCATTTTCATTAGTATTTTCATTATCACATTTATTTTTATTTTTATTTTTAATTTAATTTTAATTCTTAATTTTATTTTTATTTATATTTATTTTTATTTTCATATTTATTTTTATTTTTATTTTATTTTTTTTTATTATTATATATATTTATTTTTATTATTGTTAGTTAATAGATTTATTACTTTTATTAAATATTTTGTTTTTTGAGGCAGAGGATTGAAGTCCTTTTTTCAAATCTGATGGTGGTCTAATTTGTATTATGAGAATGGTTATATCAATGTTTGAATTGTTCTAAGACTGCTCTTTTTAGTCTTCTCAGTAATTCAAAGGGCTGGTCGTTTGGAACGCATGGGTCCGGTCTTGGAACGCAACGTCAGTGGTTGTGACGTGCGTGGTTACTCGCCGCCGGAAATGCACATGTGGAACGCAACCAGAAGTTGTGATTTGGAACGCATAATATTACCGGACGGACTATCAGCTGTTTTTTAGCCGCGAATTTGAAGGTGGCGATCATCTGGAAAATATTTACTCTATTGAAGAGGGGCCGCCTATGAAGGAATCCTCCAATCAACAATTGGACTGGTTATATTTAAGGGACTCTGTTGCGGGTGGGATTATGCATGCTTTGTATTTTATATATTGTGCATACTGCAATATTTTCTCTGATGAAGTCCAATTTGTATGGACGAAACGCGTTAGATGCAGTATTATTTGTAAATTTTAACTATTGATTTTTGATATAGGCTTATTAGTGCCTCAAATAAAAAAGATTTTTTTACACTTCACTGGCATACTCCCACTTCTTGGAAGACAGAGCAACCTATCCGTGGAGGGTGAATACTATTGCAGCCCTTTGAGGGCTTAAAGGCGTATTATCCATCACTATTCTGTGAGTGCAATCATTGAAGTTTACATTTTATTATTGTGACGGTACTTCACTATGTACTATGTATTCTTATGTTTTTTAGTCATTCAGCTGTATCCCTTTTTTGTCCATTTAGTAATTGATTCTGCCCTGGACGGTGCCTCCTGTGGACGTTGTGCCATCACATACTCCTGCACATCTGCCCAGGGCCAGATTAAGAGCCCAGTGGGCCTGGTGCTGACAATTATGACTGGCCTAATTACAGAATCATATCGACCAAAAACAGTAAAACACTCCCAAGCATCATGTATCTGATGGAGATGGGGCTGGAGAGAAAGAAAACAGCAGCTATAAGAAAACACATACCCTAGGCTAATCTGTCACTAATGTATGTTTTCATCTTTCAAGTAAATCCATAACCCCTAACAGCAGTGTCCAGTCAAGCAGGAAGTCAATGGGCATGGTAAAAGGGTGTGCCACTGACACAAATCACATAAACTGCCAAAAGGGGCAAACATGCCCAAAAAGAGGACATGTCTGCTCAAAGAATTAGGCCAGCCTGACATGAATGCATCTCAGGCTGCCTGCCAATCATGATGCTGGCCAACTAAAGGCATACTATGCAGACAGCACCCTGAGCTTGGCATACATGCATCTAATGATGCGCTCACTCAACGCTTTCTAAGGACTGTCCCCTAGCACTCGCTGGTCCACTTGTCTCCTTACCTTCTTACTAGCAGGCAGAAGCTCCTGGTATATGTTCTGGGACAGAGAAAAGTTGTATGTAGTGAGTATAGAAGAAAGGGAACATGCCACAGTGTTAGAGAGACCAAAGTCAGCATTACCTTAAAGGATCACTATAGGGTCAGGAACACAAACATGAATTCATGACCCTATAGTGTTAACACCACCATCATGCCTCCATAAATATAGCAAACTCCTACTATATTCACGCCTGAAGCTGTAACTCTGCATGCTGTTAGACTCATAAAAACAATCAGTCTGCGGACATCATTAGAAGTGGTGGCCTGATCCAATCACAGTGCTTCCCCATAGGATTGGCTGAGACTGACAAAGAGGCAGATCAGGGTCAGAGCCAGCATGATTCAAACACAGCCCTGGCCAATCAGCATCTCCTTATATAGCTGAATTTAATTAATGAATCTCTATGAGGAAAGTTCAGTGTCTGCATGCAGAGGGAGGAGACACTGAATGTTTGGATGCATTTTAGGCAGCCATGACCCAGGAAGGATCTCTAACAGTCATCTAAGGAGTGACCAGTGAAGTTATCACTAGGATGTAATGTAAACACAGCATTTTCTCTGAAAAGACCGTGCTTACAGCAAAAAGTGATATCACATTTTGTAAATCACAAGGAGTAGCATAAGAGAAAATGCTGTAAAATCACCAAAAAAATACTTAATTTAAATCTGCTGTATAGATGGATTCCTCCCAGTGCCCCCATGTCTCCCAGTGCCCTCGTGACTCCCCATGTGTCGATTACTCCAGGTCTCAGTGTTCCTATGTATCAGTGTCTCAATGCCCCATGTCTCCCTGTGCCCCCATGTATCCCACTAGGGGACTCTGGCTGGGACACATGGGGACAATGGGAAAATAGGGGACACTTGAAGACATGGGAACACAGACACCAGGGACAAAGATACTAGAGACACTGGCTGGGGGACATGGGGACATTGAGACATGGGGGCACTGGGAGACATGGGGACACTGAAACACCAGGGCCACAGACATTAGGGACACTAGCTTGGGGACATTGTGACACTTGAGGCACTGAGAGACATGGAGGCACTAGGAGACATGGGGACAGTGAGACACTGGTAGACTGGGGGCACTGGGAGACTAGGGGTCACTGGGAGACTAGGGGGCACTGAGACACCAGGGACACATGGCTGGGAGACATGGGGACACTGTGTCCCCATGTGTCTGTGTCATAATGTCTCCCAATGTCCCTTAGTGTCTCAGTGTATGTCTCTTTGCAGCCTTTCCCCCATCCCTTACTTCCCTGAGCCGTAAGCTATCTCTGCAGGGTGGGAGTTGCTGTCTGGACTCTCTGTAGCTGCACCCCTGCAGAACTTCCTATCCCTGCCTGTCTCCACATACAGCGACCCCTACTGGCCAGTGCTGGTATTGCAGAGTAATCTACATTTATACTGAGAAAAATACCAGCATTTATATTGCCAGTATCACTGCAATATTGGCACCAGCCAGGCAGCCTCAAATACTGACTGTACCAATAAAATAAAAGCCAGGTGGAATCCCTAAGAGTAGTGTGTGGAAAAAAAAAAAATGTAAAAAAAACAAATTTTTTTTTTTTTTTAAAATCAATGGGCCTATACCATGGGCCTGGGCCTGGAGCTGCAGCTCCATCAGCCCCTATGTTAATCCGGCCCTGCATCCGCCATCAGCACGGTCAGTATTTCCAGGGGTACTGGCTGCGGTAGAAACTGCATCCTGGTTCTCATTTCTTTTTGGTATGGGGTTTCCATGGCTGGTGGGGGTGTGATGCTGCGGGCTCTGTCTCCCTCCATCAATTCGGCAATCAGCACCGCTTTTGGCTTATTGCTGGCTATCTTCCTTCTGGCTTCCAGCAGTTCATTTAACAGCTGCCTTTTTAATGCAGTGTAATCCATCTCCATTCACTTTTGTGTTCGGTTCTATGCTGCATCCGAATTGCCATTCACTTTTCCCGTTCGGTAGTTTCGATTTATCCGAATGCCGCGTTTTGGCTGTAAGGTTGGATCCCGTCTCTTGCCACCAATTGTAGCGGAGTTGCAATATTAAATCCCAAGTACAGAAGGTAATCCAAAGTCAAGGCTGAAAAGTAAGGCAATATCCCAAATCCCCCAGTAACCGGACGAAACACAGTTCTGGGAGTCAACTGAGGTTTTTATTCACAGGTCACAGTATTTATGCAAGTCCCCATGCAAGGGGTTTCCCTACTGACATTGCAGGGGTTATACAGCAGGGGACTACATGGGGGATTTAGCAATCTGGACATTTCTCCCATCAGGCACTGCTGGACGAGAGGGATACTCCCACTAGAATATACCGCTAAGTGGATTATCCCTCCGTGCAGCAGAACCAACATTTTACATTAAAATACATAACTTTGCCATCATTCACTTTATTTAAACGAATGGACGTTCGGTAGATAGCTGGGGTCTGAGTGCACATTTCGTGAGAATACCGCTCAGATCCCAGCCTAAACAACTGAACGCCGCACGAAATACACTTTGACATTGTGTTCGCCTAAAAATACCGCACACCGATGGGGAACCATAATAGTGAAAGAACGGAGCTCCCGAACGGCCTGGAAGCTCAGCGGTGTTTGCGCCATCGAGTAGCCGCTTTCAGTTCCATGCGCTCGACGACCAAACACCGCTGGTGAAACAAAGGATCCAAGATGGCCGACCGCCGCGTGGTCGGTAGCTGAACGACGGCCACCTATGAAAAAACCATTAACTACCGATTGCAACAATGTTGCAATCGGTTAATAAGTGCCACACACCCCTCTGTGTGTGGGCTACTGGGTGGTAGCTCATTCGTTTCACGAACAGCCGGTAAAGTCTTTGTTCATGAAACGAAATACATGAATGCTAGTGGCTTTTGGCTGCTAGCATTCGAATGCTCTAAACATAGCAGCACAGACAGATATTACAATATACAATCCAGCGGTTATTGCAGACAACGTTTTGTACATATAGTCCAGCAACCTAACAGTGGCTAGGTTTGGCACATGGAGCACCTGCAGCCCACGAGTGAAAAGGGCAAGAAAAAGTGCCGGAAAGCGAGCTAGAGGATTAACCGTGGTAGGGTAGGGGGAGGGAAAAGCAAGGGGAATGGCACACTGAAAAAGGTACCCACAGTACCCCCCATACAACCACCACACAATAGCAGATATCACTGAGAAATACATGGGTAATAACAATCACAAGTAAAAAATGATGAATCTAAATCATCAATAAATCCCAAATAAGCTAAATAAAGGTTATATAAATCATAAGTAAAACATGATTAATCTAAATCATAACTAAATCCCAAGTAATCTAAATGAGGGCAATCTAAATCATAAGAAAAACATGATTAATCTAAATCATAAATAAATCATAAATAAATAAGTCATAACTAAGACCCAAAGCCACCAACTAATATTAGCAGGAGGCAGTGGTACTCTGACCTGTACTGACTGAGGAGCAGCAAAGAAAGACGAAATGATGCATGGGGAGGGGAGTTTTATAGTAACTAACTTTTTTCTGATTGGTTGTTTTCTGTGCTGCTGAGGAGTTCTAGTAAAGAGAGACTTAAGCAAATACAAAGCCTCCTGTCATGTTATAAAACTGAATGAAATGGAACCATGAAATGGAACAATGAAATGGTTACCAATTAGTAAACACAGGGGAAGTCCCGGTTTGCTTCAAGTTATATATTTTTTTCACTGGGGTTGTGTTCACATATATTGTTGTTTTTGTTTACCTAATAGTGGTGGTATGACTGATTGCAGTACACGAAGGGGTTATTTGAATGCCCCTAGCTAGAGGTATGTGCCATCTGTTAAATCACAGGAAAAGAGTTGTAAATCAGGTGTCTTCCTGTCAAACTAGCATCCAGTTCGCAAGGTGCAAAACCTTTGCATCTAAAACATTTACATGATAAGAGTTTATACTTTCCCCA